AAACATACAACTACTAATAAGACTTCTTTTTCTTTTATAAGAAGAAGAAAAGTGTCAGGGGTGAGGGGGTGGGAGAGGGGGGGCGGTTGGTGGAGAAGGGTAAAATTTATATAATCATTACTGATACAGACATCAGAAATGACTTCTGAGCAACTGAACGACAGCAGACGACAGCGGTTTATCAGAATGTTAAATTTACTGTGCACAAATTTAGATTAATCACTGATGGTGACAATCAACAAAATTTTTCTTTAATACTAAACTTTTGCCTTTATTTTAGTGCATCTTATAGAAAAGTCACTACAATAACGGTAATCGACTATTTTCACCAATTTTTTTTCTTTTTTCCGTATTTTTTTTTCTGATCAGGAAGAAGAGGAAGAAGAGAGAAGTGAGAAGATAATAACTGAATAAAATTAATATAAAATAATAATCTCTCTTCGCCTTCAATTTTTTTCCAATGCTGATCAAATTCTATTTTATTTTTTTTTTCGCTCTTTTCTACGTTTTTTGACCTGCTAAAATTTTCTAAAATTGGCGACATTGCTAAAATTGGTACTTTTTTTTCTTGTTTTTTGTTTATCTTTACCATAACAGACAGTTTGAAAACACTTTTTTTTTCACTTTCTTTTCTTCACTTCTGATTATTTAAATATTTGATTGGTTACAATTTAGCTGTAATATAAAGTTTAGAAACGATTGAGTAATAAATTGTTATAGGTGATAATGTTTTTTAAACAATTAACTTTATAGGTGAATAAGCTGATTTCAGAGGCAAATTACTGCTGAAGAGAAAACAAAAAAAAAGTTACTTTTTCAGAAATGCTTTTTTGTTGTTGTCGTTTTTTTTAAATTTATGGAAAAAAAACAGGTATACCGAGAAAAAAAGTAGTAACCAAAAAAACGCTTTTCCTAAATGAACAACACAAATAAACTCTTCTGCATTCTGTCCGCAAAAATTAATTTTTACTTGCCACTTTGTCTTTGATCATTTTTAGTTCAGTCTTTCCAAACTGTTTTTTTCACTATCAACGGTGAAAATTTGTTATTAAAACTTTTATTTAACACGTGAAAAAAAATATTATTTTATTTTTTAACATAAACAATTTTCTTTTGGCAGTATTTTGATCTGTTTGTGACTGACAAAAATTTTTCAGTTCCGCTGAGCAATAAAGTATGTCGAATCGAAAAACTGATTGATAAACTTCGTATAGACTTATGTTCTTTTCTTCAATTTATTTTCTTTGTCGTTATCTATTTTAAGTAAATGACTTGTTAAACTTTACAAAAACTTTTTTTTTCTCCAGATATTTCTGTATCCAAATTCTTAGTTGGTAATTAAGTGACTGTTAGACGAAGACAAAAAAAACTGATATTTTATAAACGAGGATATGCGTTTTTTGGCTTTTAATACTTTTTATAAAACAGCAAGACTTTTTTTTTCCAAAACATTTACAGCTTTTAAATTAATAAACCTGGTAAACCCGATTAAATGTTTAATAAAAATTCTTTGAATAAAACAAGAAAAAACCTTTTTTTTCAATCATTTACAGCTATTTTCAAAATTCACATTCTATATGCAATAGCGGAATATAATTTTAACATGTAATGACACGAAAAGTAAGCAGTAATACCAGCAATATTTTTCAGTTTATTTTGTTCAAATTTATTTTAGTGTTATATGATAAATACCACTTGAATTGGAAAACGCTGCCACTGAAAAGTCATTTCATAGAGGAATCAACTTTGTCGTCAAGTGGCAAAAGGAAGAGAAGTTCTGTAATTACTGACCCCTCTGTATTCAAAAAACGCAGATTTATAGAAACAGCGACATTTTGAATAATTTTAGCATTTTCTCTTTAATCTAGCAAGAAATGTTGTCTTTTCTACTGTAAAAAAGGTAGATGAGCAGTTGTAAGCTCAAAACAAAGACTGCAAAGGAACTGAAAATATTAAAAAAAAACACTATTTTGAGGAAGACAAGTCAAAAAGGAAAAAAGTTTGGAGAGAAAAGATAACTGAAAATGAGCATTAATGAAATTTAACATAAAGCATTCCTCGTTTTTACAGAATACGTTACTGGTATACCTATTGTTGTCGCTGAGAATAAAATTTGAGATTAATGAATTTAAAAGTCATCAACATAAATTGGGTCTTATGTGGAAAAGACATAAAAATTTTTAGAAGTTATATTAGTTTGTTGCTGTTTTATTTTTGAGGCTTTCCTTAAACGTTCGTTACAGACACTGCGTTAGTTGGCTAAATAGATATATGTCAAAAGCATCGTTGTTTATCAACTTTTATCCAGCAGTGATTGATAGAAATTTATTTCTGTTAATATTGTTAATTGCGAACTTTATATGTGTAATTAATTCACTGTCTGAAAAACATTCTTTGAAAATTAAAAAAAAAAAAAAACAGTTTATCAAATCAAGACTGAACCAGCAGACTAGACAAGTAGTCACTGTCACTTACTCAGTTTTTTGCCTGCAGTTATCAGTAAATGTCAAAGCGCGAAGCTCGCTCTATCTTTCACTTTTGTAAACCAATAACTTGTAGCTTACATTATTGGTTCCTGTTATAAGTACACTAACATCGTGACTCACACGTTTCTAGGCGCTTTCAGGACGTTTTGTAGTCTTTTCTAGTAAATGACTCTTAAAATAATGAAGAAGTGATATATTTTAAGATGGAATACAAGAAACATCTAAAAATCTTAAGCGCATCTTTTGTTGCGACCATACGCGAAACGGCACTTAACTGCAATAAGTGACCGACAGGATTATGTTCCCTGAGGGGACGCTCTCAGAA